CTGTATGGCTCTGCTTCCACAGAAGAATTGGAATGCCTAACTAGGAATAAACACTCAGTTTTAGAATGACACAATTTTGAATTGCAATCCTTGCCACTGGGTTTATAATGGACTCCTACTGCCCTGGGTGTGGTGGCTGTGGTAATCCCCAGAGGTTTAGAGGCTGAAGCAAGAGATTTGCAAGTTCAAAACCAGCCTCGACAATTTAGCAAGGCCCAAAGCAACTTAGCAAGGCTCTATCTCTAAATAAAATATTTTAAAAGGGCTGAGGATGTGGCTCAGTGGTTAAGCACCCTGGGATCAATCCCAGGTACAAAAAACTTAGAATAAAACATCACAAACCCGACTTTTCAGAGGTGCCTTCCTCAGAAGCTCAGCCCTGACACATCTTTTGCAGAACAGGAATGGGACAAAGAGCACACAGGTATCAATTCTCCTGGTTGCACAGCAAGTAGTAGCAAAAGGAAGGCCTTAAGCCAAAACAGATGGCACTCTAAGCCTCTTTACTCTTCTATGGGGGTTTAGCCAGCTGTCCCTTACCTGGACCCTCAATCTCTCTGCCCCTCTGTTCTAAGGAACAAAATCCACCTCCTTGCAGTTGTGGCTCCATTAGTTACCTCACTCTGGTATCTTTCATCCACTCCTTTCTATCCTTTTCTCAAATGTGGTCAATATCTCCCATACTAAAAACAAAAACAAAAATCTTTACAGCCATTCTACTTTCATCATCTATTCACTGTCAAGTAGTCAGTTTTTCTCAAAAAAGAAAAGGTGTGCATTTACTGTTATTTTTTTCCCCACCTTTGATTAAAAAATGAACTCTTGACTTCCCTGCAGTTGGGCTTCTACCCCAGCCTTCTCTGAAAATGCTCCTGATAAAGTCTCTAAGCACCTTCCAGTGGACACAGACAAGAAATATGTCCCAGGTCTTATTTCATTTTATTTATTGGCAACCTTGCCTTTGGCTTCGAAGGATCTGCAGAGCACTCTTCTTGCCTGATTTCTTGGCTTCATCTCCAGATTTCTCCTCTTTTTTTCTAATCTCTCTTTTGTTCATACTATAATCTGCTCCTCTTATATGACCTCAGCTATATCCATAAGCTCAAGTTCAAATTTTGACAGTTACATTCAAAATTCTGACCTGTCTCTTGAACTGTACACATCATCCATGTACTGCCGGACACTCTCAGAAATCAGAATGAGTCCCTTTCACATAAACTGAAAGATCAAAAGTCCTGTCATTTCTATTATCTGCCTATTCCTGTCATCCACGTTCTCTTTTTCCACCTTCTTTGCACAAGTGAGGTTCTTCTTATTTGCACCTTATAGTCTTTGTTCCTCTGTTTCTTTGGAGCCATGGCAGACTATCTGTAGTCCCTCCATGTCCTCTGCATATCTGTGGGGGGAATCTGGTCTGCTTCCTTTTCAAAATTCAGCTCAAATAAGGTGTAGGAAGTTTTCCTGACCTCTCTAAATCAGGTTTGGTACTTGTGCTGTTTAAAATCCCCATGCCCAGTGTACACCCCAGACCTCTTAAATCAAGATCTCTTGCCAGAGGGAAGCAGACTACACTGTTTTCTGAAGCACTCCAAGTGGTTGCAGTGTGGCCACCTGTGAACCAATAAGCAGATCCTCGGCAGAAACCAAGTCTGCTGCTTGCACTTCCCAGACTCAAAACATGGAGAAATAAATGATTATTATTTAAGACATTTAAATA